TCCCCTCTGTCGCCACTCCCAGGCACCACAGGCTCTCCCTAGGACTGGAAAGATAGAGAACACTTCCCTGCAGTGTAAGAGAATCATTCCTAACTCAAGTGAGGCTCTTTCCCCACCAGCCAAGCTCCTTAATACAAAGATCTGTCACTATATCTAGCAGTAAGATGATATAACGGAACTTCAAGGTATGCAGGGAAAGACTGGAGCAGAACACTTATGTCTGATTTATGAAACATCCATTTTCTCGGTCCAACAGAGAGATTACATTATGGAAAGCAAAGAAAACAAAAGTTTCTAAGTTGCATGAAAGAAGGGGACTTTGTGGAATTCACCCATCATTGCTAATAGCCTATAACGAATGGTTAGCACATAAGTATTTAGCTACTTCTGAAATGTTCCTTGCAGAATTAAAAAAAAATATTTCAGTTCATGACCTACCTCTAAAAAGGTAAAGGTAAAAGGTAAAGGCCCTCCCGTTGATCGTCGATTTGCTCGAGTGGGCCCAGTAACGTCTCCATTGGAGACTTTGTTGTTACTGTGTCTGGCATATCGAATACTCTTGGTAGCTTGCTGGGCTCTCCGAGAGGGGCGGAGGAATCGAACTCGGGTCGGCCATGTTGGCCGCTTGTAAGGCGAATGCCCTACCGCTGTACTATCGCTCTAAAAAGACAGCATCAATAAGAATAATAAAAAAAAAAAAGCAGGTAGTAACCAAACATAAACTAAAATGAAAGCCTAAGAAGATTTAGATTTTTTAAAGGAGTATTTTGAAAATTAAAATTAAATTAAAATTTCAAAAGTAAAAAAATAAATAAAAATAAAAAGACAGCATCATTACAAAAGGGAAGCTGAATCTTGGACTGGAAGATAGCGCAAAGGGCTAGAGCAGATATCTGGCACACAGAGGTCGAGGGTACAATGTGTGGTACTGAATGGATAATGGACATCATGCTGGGATGGCCCAGTGACCCCCACCAGCATCAGGCTGAGTCTTGCTTGGAGTGGCCCCTGCGCCCCCTGAAGCACCGCCTGGGATACCTAAATATTCTTAAAACAGAGGAAAGTTTAGGGACTAAAGAGAAAACAGTGGAACAGTGGTTCAGGCACTTGCATATGGCCTATCCAGATTCAGTGCCTGTCACCCAAGAGGTCTCCTGAGCTCCCCCAAGAGTGACTGATCCCTGAGCACTGAATCAGGAGTAAGCCCTGAGTACCACTGAGTGAGTGGTCGCAAAGTCAACCACTGAGTATGGCACAAAAATAAACAAGCAAAAACAAAAAAAAAAAAAAAAGAAAAAAACCCAAAAGGAATACAATAAAAGCTGAGACATTTTGAAATGAACTGTGCTCTATAATTCCATACTACTATAACATCCTGTGTTGGAAGGAAAACAGGTGCAAAAAACAGGGTTAAAGATCAAAGGCAAGGAAGTTATGGTTTCTGTTTAATTCATTTTAAAATCTAAGAAAATATGAGGGCAAATTTCTCTTTAGTTTCTGCTATGAAATAAAGTCATTTACTGGTTGAAACGTTTATGTACATTCTAAAGAACATTCAAGAAACTGTTTATGAAAAATGCCCTAAGCACATGGCTCTGGGGAAGAGATACGTTCTGAAACCAGGGCAGGTGGAAGGGCATGCACTCATACTGGACAAACCCCAGCCCTTCCAACTTTTCCTTCCAGATCTGACTGCTGCACTCACTGACTAGTGAGCCCATCCAATTCTAAGAGCTAACAGTCACATTCGTAACTCCCAACAACCACACAAAGGTATTCTCACAGATGAGGAAACATCACTGGTCACATACAGCTAAGTGGTAAAGTTAAGATTCAACTGCAGGCAGCTGGCTTCAGAGTTTATTCTCTTCATCTGCATACTATATTGCCTATCAGGGATAAACCACCAGTCTTTCAAAAGAAAAAGCGTAATGCTTGGTAAGCTCTTTTCGTTTTAAATGCTCCTAGGGCCAGAAACATGGCTCACATGTAGAGCACTTGTCTAACTGTTTAATCCTGGGAACTGAAAAACAAACAAAAGCTCCGATGTTTTGATGGCAAGAGTTTATCTATAGGAGAAAGTCATTCAGAGGTCAAAGAACAGCTCTTTCTAATCTGACAGCATAGAATACCTCAACCCACATTTCTAGCTTATCTATCTTCCCCAATTCTTTATCTTTCTAGAGGCAGAGGACAACACCCAGCAATGCTGGGGGAGCCAGGAGGTTCCCACTCAATCCAGAATCCTAGAGATGCTAGGAATGGGCTCAACCACCTAAGTTACATCCCCGGTTGCAGCCATCTCAGAAGTTCATGTTCCTGACACAGACCATACACTTTCATGCTGCTATGTTCAGGGTTTTTATTTCTCTACCCAAAACACTCCTCCTTGGGGGCAGGAGCAATAATACAGTGTGTAGGACATTTGCCTTGCATGCAGCCAACCAGGGTTTGATCTCTGGCAACCCTTGGGTAACAGAGATAGTACAGTGGGTAGGGCATTTGCCTTGTCATGTGGCCAACCCAAATTCAATCCCCTGACCACTGCCAGGAGTGATTCCTGAGTGCACAGCCAGGAGTAACTAACCCCTGAGCATCACCGGATGTGGCCCCCAAATCGAAACAAAACAAAATGACCCCTGGCATCCTGTATGGTCCCAAGCACCACCAAGAGTGATGACAGGGTGTGGCCACCCACAACATTCCTACTTAACCTTCAAATTCTAACTCATCAAGCTCTGTCTCTATAACACCATTCCTGATGCTGCTAGACAGAATAGTTTTCACATACAGCATTTAGTATATTTCTCTACTATGTGTTTTTATTTCATTGTATCAGTTTTGAATACCTGGAGTCTTTTACCTCCCAGGATTAGACAGATCCAAGTTCACTGTCTAATGGATCTGGTAAATATATTTTAAAAATTTTGGCACTTAATAAAGCAGAATAATTTTTTACAAACTCATCAGTACAGAGGCTGGAGAGAGTATGAATAGCGCGCTTGCCTTTCACTCAGCTGACCTGGGTTTGATTCCCAACATCCCATATGGTCTTCCTGAGCACGGCCAGGAGTGATCTCTGGGCAAAGAGCCAGGAGGACAAGTGTGGCCCAAAAATAAAAACAAAACAAAACAAAAAAAACTTATCAGTACAAAATGGCCCACTTAACTAGGGGTTCATAGAGTAAGGGCTTTACTGAACAACAGTAATGAAGCTACTTGAAAGGAGTTAAATTCATTTTCCTATTAAGTAAAAGTTAAAGGTGTCATATCTACTTACAAAGGATCTGACGATGAAATTCAGTGACCAGAAATTCTTTGTTTTGGGGCCACACACAATGGTACTCAGTGGCTATTCCTGGTTTTGTACTCAGGGATCATACCTGGAGGGGTGCAGCGGACCATACATAGTGCCAGGGATTAAACTCAATCCAGCTGCATGCAAGGCAAGCAAGCTTCTTCCTGTACTATCTATCAGTTTCTCAGAAGGAAAGACGACACTCTAGGTCAAATCCAAGTAATGCTATGGTAAGAGCAGTATGAATGATGATTTGAGTTAAGATTTCACTGACAGATAAAGGCTTCCAGAATCAAATACAGCAAAATTAATGATGAGGAAAACACCATTTCATAACTTATAGAGTCCTGCAGGCTACTTGAATGGCCCAAAAATTACTCTTCCTCCTCAATCTCTCAGAGCCTTATAGTCACTCCCCGCACCCTTCCCTCCTCCCCCCACCCCCACCATGTCACAGGAGTAACTCTGAAGGCTTCTGGGTGTGGCTCCAAAACTAAATAAACAAAAAGTTCTGGGGCTGGAGACAGGCTCAGGAATAGAATGCTTGCTTGCACTGCATGAACTGAAGTCCCATCTTCAAAACTGCAAAAACAGGTTAAAAAGAAATCTACAAAATGCTCTGGTAGAGGATGTGGTGTTGGAATATTATATGCAAAAAAAAACTATCATTTGTTTTTTTGTAGCTATTTTTGGGCCACACTCAGCAATGCTCAGGGCTTACTCCTGACTTTACTGCTCAAGGATCATTCCTCGAGGGATTTTGGGGAGCATACATGATGCTGGGAATCAAATCCAGTTTAATAGCAAGCAATCCAAATGCTCTACCCGCTGTACTATCTCTCCAGTCCCCAAAACCCTACCATTAACAGTGCTGAACATCATGAAGACTAAATTTTAAAAAACAAATAAATAAATGAGTAGGGGGAGAAGGGATGCGCAGAGCAACATAACAACAAATAGGGTGTTTGCCTTGCATGCAGCCTACCTGGGTTTGATCTCAGGCAACTCATATGGTCCCCTGAGTCAACCAGGAGTGATACCTGAGTGCAGAGTCAAGAGTAACCCCTGAGAACTGCTGGATGTAGCTCAAGAAAAAAATTTTTTAATCTACAAAATGTTGATTGGGGGAGTGGATAGGAAGGACCCTTTGGTGAGTGGCAGAGGGATAGTGGTACTCTTGTGTTGGATGTAACAAGGCAACAGAGGAACCCTAAAACACCGTTATAGTCTTGCAAACCATTGTCTCAATAAAGAAAAATTAATGTTTTTTAAGTATTATCTAAACTACAGGCTCAATTTTTTCTTATTACCCCAAAATTAGAACTTACCAAACTAACTTACTAAACCGGCAAAATTTGACTTGAATTTATTTACTCCCAACCTCAGTTAACCTCAAACCCTTTTCTTTCAAACTCCTACCTATCTACAAACTTTCAAGAGCGCAGGGCTTGAAGGGCCTACTTATTGCTTACAACTTATCTTCATGACAAATCGCTGATTTTTCAGAGGCCAAAAACTTTATCAGAATAAGGGCTGGTCCAATTCTTCCAAGGCAACCTTTCACATAAAGCACACCAATAAATCAAATGTCAACTTTGAATTCCTGTTGGCATTAAAGTAAGACCATCTCAATTACTTCTACTTGTTACCCATCCAGGCAGCCACAGACCTGAATAAATATTTGTGTAGCATTCTCCATTACCTAGGCTGAGAATTCTCTTCATACATCCTTTCTTTCCCCTCCTTGAAGAGGCTTATGGTCTGCTTAGTTTTCTTCATCAAGTTCTCCATGAATACCCTAAAATACTCGTTTTCTCCAAGTGTCTCCATCTTCCCCTCATATCTTGACAAGATAGTACGAAGATGCTGGTAGGTATCTGGCAGCAGGTCTAAGATATAAGGTGGGCTATTTTTTAGCGCCAGCTTTGGGTTCTGACACAACCGTACCACCTGCAATAAATGGAAAAGAAGGGCAATTACTTGGAGGATTTTTTCAGTTAAAAAAATTATAAAATGTGCTCTTTTGCCGAAATAAGAAAAACATCAAACTATGAGAAATGGGGGGCTGGAGTAGGGCACTTGGTTTATACGAAGCCAATCTGGTTCAATCCCTGGAATCCCATATCGTCCCTTAAGCCCTACCAGGAGTGATCCCTTAGTACAGAAACAGGAGTAACCCCTGACCATAGCGAGGTGTGGCCCAACAACAAAATAAACAAAATATGAGAAATGTTCTGCCCATAACTTCTCTACATACAGGCAATCATTTTATACATTCTTTAGTATAAACCCACTCAGTATAAACCTTCAAAGGGTGGGTTTTTGAAGTTGTATGGGAGAGAAATGATCCTATACACAGACATGGTAGACAACAGTATACCAAACAATACTGGGGAAGAAAGCTGCACAAAAGCCTTTAAAATGCCAAATAAAACATGGCTAATTCCTCTTACATATATGACTCATCCCGTGACAGAATAAAGCACATTCCCTGGGCAGACGTAAGTAACACTGTCCTAGGAGGCAAATTCTGGTAATGTAGGGGCTGGGCTTTAACAACCACTAGGGGACAGGAGTGGAACGGCTTTGGACCCGCAAAGCAAGCTGATAATCTTTCAAACAGTAATACAGGACTCTGAATTTGCAGAGTAATTCTGTTTCTCATCATTTATTTTCAACTTCCATTTCTGTTTTTGTTTTTGGACCAACCCAGTGATGTTCAGGGATTAATCCTGGCTTTGCACTCAGGAATTACTCCTGGCAATACACAGGGAAACTGTATGGAATGCTGGGGATCGAACCCAGGTTGGCTGCATGCAAGACAAGAGCCCTGCCCACTATACTACTGCTCTAGCCCCTCATTTTACTTTTATTTTAATTTGGTTTTGGGACCACGCCTAGTGGTGCTTGGGAACCACTCCTAGCTCAGTGCTCTTTTGGAGGGTCATTCCCCACCATACTGCAAAGCTGAGGAGTTTCTCCTAGCTCTCCACTCAGGAATCCTGGCAGTGCTCAGGGCAGACCACATGGGATATCAGGGATAGAACCTGAGTTGGCTGCACACAGAGCATGTGCCTTACCCACTATACTATTTCCCTGACTCTCACTTGATAGTTTCTGCTAGACTCTCTAAACCTTACTGGGAGCATACCTCCTCTCCCAAACCACAGACACATACATACATGCACATTCATCTGATATTCTGTTCCGTTGCAACGGATAATGGTTCGACCACATAGCCTGTCTTGCTCCAAATGACAAAAGCCATAGACCAGTGTGACATCCTGAACACCTGTTCTCTAAGAGGCTAGGAGGAAATATACCACAATAGCAGTAACCTAACTCATCCCATATGATCTTACCCGCTGTACTATCTCTCCAGCCCAATCTTTGGCTTTAACTAAGGTGATCTACTGATACTTACATTTGATGAATCATTAAAACGCTATTATTGTAGGCCAAATGTTGACAATTTGATATGGTTTACCTAATTACCGTACAGCTGTTACGGTAAATTTTTAAAATTATTTGTTTCCATATCTGTTTACTATCTCCCCTTTAGTGCTCTTAAAGTATTTTTCTTTTCCCAATTCTCTCCCGCATTAGTATGTCAAATACTTACACTCTTTCCTACTCTTGCAGTGATTACCTCAGTAATTAGAACATGCAGATCTGACTCATAAATTCTTACATAAACTAGCACTTTCACCACTTCACAAGGAATGCTAGGAACATGAAACGCTAATTCAATTTCATTTCTTTTCAATTTATGTGTTATTAGCATCATTCAATTTAATTCCACAGACCTCATAAAGTCCCCAATTCATTATTCATACTCCTCCTGGTTTTGCTGAAGACCACACCTTGTGGTGTCATGGGGTCTGGAAGCCCATTTCCAGTGATACACACTGGAAGCTCAATCCAGGAGTTTGTGCTTAGGACAGGGGTGCTGAAGGCCAACCCAGACCTATTTCACTCTCACTCCAACGTTCAGGCAATCAGGAACCTGATTATGAACCTAGTATGTATGATTTCAAACCCTGTAGTTGTTTCTCACATTGGTAGAAGCATAAACCTAACACTGTGCCCTAGTTCACACTGAAAACTCTTTGTGTCATCAAAAGCTCAGTATAAACCTGTATGAGCTGTTTACATGATTCCATTCTATGCATAAATCATAACATGTTTTACCATCTCCCCTTTTTAAATGTTTGTGCTATTTTTTACTTTCTACACTGCGATGAGTATAATGGCATTTTATTTTTCTAGATAGACGTCACCGCCAGAAAAGTTAGAATCATTAGGTACATCTAAACTGAAAACTTCCCACTTAGTGTGGAGTTCATGCGCAATTCAGTCAGCCTAATCAATGGCTGAATAAAGAGCAGTACTCCTACATTAAAAATAATAGAATAATAATAATAATAATAATTCCCACTAAGTAACAAATCATCAGTAACATTAAATGAGTAAGACAAAAATAAAAAATTTAAACTAGTTTGTTCTCTATACACTGAATGGAATTCAGGAAATTCTCTCCATTTCCTGAACTTTTGAAAAATAGGCCTACATAAGACTAGCAAATAAAGACAAGCTGAACCAACAAAAATCTTTTACGTATAAATATTTTAAGTGTTTTAGGAAGCTGTTCATCCTATCAACGGTTTTAAGCCAAACAAAAACATAGCCAAGAAAATAAGTCTCCTCCTCCACAGAGACGCTATATTCTAAGTGCAAGAATGTTAAGGACTCATATTAATAATATAAGCCCTGAGGATAGAAAGCCGCTGGAGGGAAGCAGGGGAGAATGCCAGTGAGGTCAAGAGACCTCACTGGCAAATGGGTACAGTGACAGAGCACCTACCTCACATGCACGATGCCCAGTGTCCATCCCCAGCACCGAGAGAGAGACTAAGAAATCAAAATCCAACCAAAAAAAATACAAGAATCAATTTTTGAAGGTATTGTCAGAGAATGCTAAATAGGCTTCATATGGAGAAAGAACCTGAAAGGATAAATGAAAAGCTGAGGTTTCTAGTCAGCTAATATTAAATGCAATTTGATTACTGCTACAAGTAACAAATATTGTTAAAAGAAGGACCACCTTCCACTAAAACAGAAAAAAAAGAAGTGAGGATGTTTCAGACAGCGATAAATTCAGAGATAAGATTCAGCACGTAATTGAAAACTGTGTCAGGTGGTTCTGATTTTCATCAATATATACATTCAACCAATAGCTATCAGGCACCAAAGAGAAGTGAAAAGACCACATCCCTGAAGCTAAATGGAATCAGGGAATAAAGAACTACTAAAGGAACTGGGTGTGTTCCCAAAATATAAAAAGGGAAACCAGTAAGAAACCTAACAGACTCTATCCAGAGAACTAAAGGCAGCAATAAGTTCATTAGAAAAATGCTGGAATCCTTAAGAACAATGGAGAGGAAAAAAACTGCTCTGAGATGAATTTAGGCTAGGAGTTAAAATTACAGGAAGTCTCATAGAACAAGCAGAAGAGTAGCCCAAAAGGGTATAACTGATCCAAAAGCCCAAGAGCAGAAACAAGTTTGGATTTGTTGGAGAAGCAGAAAACTCGGCCAGACTCAAGTGTTAAGAGAATGTGGGGAGACAGTGGTGGAAGAGGCCAGAAACTAACACAGAGATATTCTGAGGAAACCTAAGATATGCTTTCAAATTTTCAATCTAAATTTAAAAGAACAAAGTGTTGTAATATTTTGAAAAACCTGTATTGATATAAAAAATACTAGTTTGATCATTTACTTTCAGTAAGTTTCTTCTTAATTATTTTCGAGTTACACTGGGGCAAGGGGGGTGTTTCCTGGCTTTGAGCTCAGGATTGACCCCTGGTGGTGCTCAGAGGATAATAGTGGGCTGGGGGACTCAAACTGGGAATAGCCGCATGCAAGGAACACCTTAACCTGTGTGCTATCTCTCTGGCCCCTCTTCAATAAACTTCTTAACCTCTGAACTTTTACTATTATCTACAAAAACCTACAATACCTTCTTATAATTAAACATTTATGAAAGGTCTGCAGAGTTTCCAATAAAATTGGCACCAGTGAGCACTAGTTCTCCCATTTCTGTACAATTTAGGCTTATCTACAGGAAGGAGGAATTATCTGAAGACAAGAAACTTATATCATCTCATCACTCTTTGGTGACTCCCAAAAATGAATCCACTGCTGTCATAGTTCAGCAGATGGAACATTTACCTTGCACAATCAACCTGGGTTCCTGGCATTTCAGATGGTTTCCTGATCCCTGCCAGGAATGATCTGAGTGTACAGCCAGGAGTAAGCCGTGAGCACCAAAGGATGTGGCCCAAAAACCGAAAAGAAGAAATGAGAGAAGAAACTATGGATTTCATTATTCCTACCACCCTAGGCTAGCCCTTCTCACAACTAACCTCAGAAACCTGCGTAACCTCTAAATGATTACAAAGTAAAAGCAGTGTGTGACCCAAGAATGGAGTGAGCAACAATGTGCGAACACTGAAGAATCTACCCTCCTTCAAAGGCCCAATGCAATGGCCAGAGAAACAGTACAGTAGGTAAGGTGCTTGCCTTGCACACGGCCAACCTGGGTTTAATCCCTGGCACCTCATATGGTTCCCCAAGCACTTCCAGGAGTGGCCAAAAATAATAATTAATTAAAAAACAAAGATCCGGGGCTGGAGAGATAGCACAGCGGATAGGGCGTTTGCCTTGCATGCTGCCGACCCAGGTTCGATTCCCAGCATCCCATATGGTTCCCTGAGCACCGCCAGGAGTAACTCCTGAGTGCAGAGCCAGGAATAACCCCCTGTGCATTGCCAGGTGTGACCCAAAAAGCAAAAACAAAAACAAAAAAAAAAAAACCAAAGGTCCAAAGCAGAAACTAGAGAGAGTACAGTGGGGAGGGTGCTTACTTGCCTTATACAAGGCTGACCCAGG